CTCGACCCCAACCCCTCCTCCCCCGCGAGTCCAGTTCTGCCCTAGAACTCACTGGGAGAGGGCGAAGGCTAAGAATTATCAGCAATCTAGGAGACTAAGATGTGGGAGAAAAGACTGAAGGAAAAAGCCAACGCATACGGGATGCCTCAAATCCTTCCTGGATTAAGATAGTACATACATAAGTGAGTAACTGACACTAACACCTTCTAAGGGGCAGGCACTGTGCTAAATGCTAACACATCATCTCATTTAATCCTCACGACCATCTCGTAAGGGAGGCACTTTAGTTCCCATTTCACAGATGAGGAAACTGAGGTGATGAGTGCCATGGCCAGTGTCAGGCAGCTAGGAAGAGACGCCTGGACTTCAAACCCAGGCTGGCTCCCTCTGTGTTGACACTGGGGCTGGAATTCCTTTCTTTTTTTCTTTCTTTTTTTTGTAATTGAGGGAATTTTTACATAGAGTAAAATGCATGTATCTTAAGTTACAGCTTGATGAATTAAAAAATGGAACTTACTCCAGTCATTATGCAGAAAACTTCTACCCCTCCCAGTTCTCCTGTACCCCTTTTCCAGTCAATCCCCACCACTTCCAAAGGCAACGAATGTCCTCATTCCTACACCTGGAGCAGGGTTATTCTCAGCACCAACAGGTACACTGTGCTGCTGGGGCCACGCCCTCCTGGCTGTCCTCGTTCTAGAAAGCCACCCCAACGGCTTCCCTGCGGTCCCTTTTCTGTGCCTGGCCCTGACCAGAAAGACCCAGAAGCCCTGCTTACGGCTTTAAGCCCAAACTAGTCAGCCCTCACTTGTAGACTGGTTACCTTGGCAAATCACTGAGGAGAAAACAGCATTTGAAATTTTCAAGGAGGAGGCAAGAAGCCCTACAAACTGAATTCAGCCGCGGGCCCAGTGTGGACGGGCAATGAGCTGGCATTTCTCAAAGGAACGTCCAACAAGCTTTCCTGATTTACAAGCAAGTGGTAAAAGCGTCAGGAATTCCAAAGGTCAGGGAAGAAAGAGAAACAATCCCCGGGCTTTTGTTCTCTCTCTGCCTGGGTGTGAAAGCTGAGTGAAAATGCTGGGGATACTGCAGATTTTTTTAATCAACAGTCTTGGGCTTGGGCTTG